AATGGTATCAATGTGGATTTCACAAGTTTCAAAATCTCCCCTCCCCCCACCGCATCCCAAAACCAGTCCAGCTCGTCCCTGCCTCCCTAACCTGTTCTTCCTCCCACCTATCCCCTCCTCCCACCTCAAGCCGCACCTCCATCTCCTACCGACCAACCTCATCCCGCCCCCTTGACCTGTCCGTCCTCCCTGGACTGACCTATCCCCTTCCTAACTCCCTACCTACACTCACCTTTCCTGGCCCCATCCCCGCCTCTTCGACCTGTTTGTTTCCTCTCCACCTATCCTCTCCTCTATCCCTCTTCTATCCGCCTCCCACTCTCTCCCTATTTATTTCAAAACCCCCTTCCCCTCCCCCTTTTCTGATGAAGGGTCTAGGCCCGAAACGTCAGCCTCTCTGCTCCTATGATGCTGCTTGGCCTGCTGTGTTCATCCAGCCCTGCACCTTGTTGTCTCGGATTCTCCAGCATCTGCAGTTCCTACTATCTCCATGCAACACAGCCGGGGTTGTTACAACTTGGAGTAGATCCCCATAGCACGGACTAGGTTGTTAAAACACAGAGAGGAGCTTTGTTCGGAGACATAACAGCAGAGGAATTGCTGCAAAACTTGAGGAAAAACCAAGTCCCGGACTAGTTCCACCTCAGAGATCTGCAGTAGCTTCAAAGGGACTGGCACATCCAACTTCTCATCCTCTTACATTTTTATTTACAGGTAAAGTATAGTCCCAGAGGACCATTGGACCACTTTCTCATGAGAGGGACAACTGTGGTAGTTAACCTGAGGGTCACCATGCTTTAGGTGAGGTTGACAAGATGGTTGATCACCTTAATCGTTTTATTTATTCTTTAGTGGGATGTGGGTGTTACTGGCAAATTGCTGCATGTGTTGTAGAAGGCTGATTACATTTGAAAAGATGGTCAGCAGTTTTTTTAGTGTCAGTACACATACAGGTCTTTTAAGAAGGAGTTCCAGGTGTTGAGCCAGCAGTGAAGAAACAATATAGTTAGATCCAAATCAGGGTGGAGTGTGGTTTGGAGGGGAGCTTGTAGATTTTGGCGTGTCTGCTCCAATTGTTTTTCCAGTTTGTGGAGATTGCAGTCTTTGAAGCTGCTTTCGAAGGAGTCTTGGTGATTTGCTCCAATGCAAATTGTAGGTGATCCACTCTGCTTCCACTCCGCACAAAGGTAATGAATGTGTAAATTGGTGGATGAGCTGCCAATCAGGTGGACTACTCTGTCCTGGATGGTGTTGAGATTCTTGAGTATTGTTGGAGCTGCACCCATTCAGGAAGTGGAAAGTATTCCCTCACAATCCTGACTTGTGCCTTGTTGATGGTGGACAGGCTTTAGGGCATTACGATAAAATTCCTAGCCTTTGTCCTGCTCTTGTAGCCAGAGTATTTATATAGATGATCCAGCACAGTTTCTGGTCAATGATCACTTCATGATTTTGATTGTGGGCAATTCAGCAATGGTCATGCCATTGGATATCAAGTGGAATTGGTTAGATTCAAGCTTGCTAGAGAAGATCATTACTTGGCACATGTTGTGGCACAAGTGTTATCAGCCAAGCCTGGATGCATATGGACAGAGATTGCACAATTCCTCAGTTGCAAACACAAACATCCCCATATTTTTTCATTTACTCATGGGATGTGGGCATTGCTTTCTGGGCCTGCATTTACTGCTCATCCCTAGTTGCCCTTGTGAAGGTGGTGGTGAGATGCCTTCTTGAACTGCTGCAGTATGTGTGCTGTACATAGAGTCACAATGCCATTAGGGAGGGAATTCCAGGAATCCGGCCCAGCCCAGATGGCCTTATGATGGAGGGAAGGTCACTGATGGAACAGTTGATGATAGTTGGGCCTTGGCACTGTTCTGAAGAATGTCTGCAGCAACATCCTGGGACTGAGATAATTGATAATCATAATCATCTTTCTTTGTGTTAGGTTTGACTGACCAAGATACAGTTTTGCCTGATTCCCATGGACTTCAATTTTCTTAGTTTTCCTTGATGCCACATTTACTCCATTGCTGCCTTGATGTCAAGGGCATTCACTCTCACCACCCCTCTTGAGTTCAGGTCTTTTGTCCATGCTTGGATCAAAGCTAAAATGAGTTCAAGCAATTGAGTTTTCCAAACCAAGTGTCAGTAAGATGGTTATTCTTTTATCTGCTTGATAGCAGTGAATCGCATCTTCCAAAACTTTACTAATGATTAGAGTGGACTGATGGGGTGACAACTGGTTGGGGTAGATCTGTCCTGCTTTTTATGGATGGGACATATCTGGGCAATTTTCAACTTTGCTACTTGCCAGTGTTGAATCAGGACTGACAATCTTTGATTTGATCCTTTGCCAGTGGTATCACTTTGCTCTACATGTTGCATGCTGTTTCTGCTGTATCCATTCCTGGCTACCAAAACACAGATTGCTAACTCGGCCAAACAGCAAGGGATGCTGGGTATATTGACCAAGTAAAATGCTGAAAACACAAAACCCACACCCCAACATGGTGCAAATACAGCAGCCAGATGCTAATGACATTAGCATAATGCAAAAGGTAACAATTGTCCTGGACACTCATACCCCTGACAGTAATACGCCATTCAAATGATTGACTCAGTTTCAAACTATTAAGTGCATCTCCCTCACTGGCCAGAACTATAGAAAGTTCCACAAAACCACCTAAAAGGTATGAAAACAGGATTCACCTGCAGACCTCTCTTTTGGAATCTTCTGGATGCTTTCCATGGAGATCTGCATGGCAAGAGGCAGAGACCAGTTGACCATCCCGAAAGAGAGGAAGAAAGCAGCTTCACACACCCAGAGACAGAGTCAGAGAGAGAGTGACTGCGTAAATGTACAAGAGACATGGGAAGTATTGTAACCTTAAGGAGCCAAATAGAACTACAGACATAATGTTTAGCATTAAAAGTTATTGTAACTTTGTTCCCAATAAAGTTGGGACTGTTTTGCATTGCTACTGGCTTGTATTCCTATTGATTTGATGGTATTGTGGGGCATCTGGGCAAATTCATTCATAACATTCTGGTTGGAGTTGTCTAACTTGTCTGGGAAGAACTGGACAACACATCAAACCCCTCACAATTCACACACACTGAACTCCATCCACCTTCCCTTGTTGTGAATATCTGCTTCATATTTCTTGTGTTTTCAAATGTAACTTTTAGTTTAGGAATTGAAGTTTAATTGGGCTGGTAAGGTGGTGACAGCGGCCTAGTGATTGAAGCAGCGCCTGCACCATTGTGGAGATGGGACTTAGGACTCTGAGATCTGGACTTTTTTTCTTCTTGCTTACCTTTTGGCTCTGTTAAATTTTTTAATTCTGGTTTTTGCAACTAATTGTGCGCCAATGAATGG